TGCGTAAAATTAACTGGCAACTTTTTGTACATTTCCTTTGTACTCATTACATTACATTAAACAAGTCAACATTAATGATCTAATCCACTTCATACTTGTAACAATTTCCTGACTAAATGATTCCATAAAAGAAAATATTTAGAAAATGTAATTTCCAAAGGACTCTACAAACCGGCCGCAGCCAACTGTGTACAGCGAGATCTGCATAATTCAAAGCTTAACTAAATATAACCGCAGGTGGTAACCACCAAATGCGGTGAGAAAAGGGAGAGTGAGCTGAATAATTGTGTAACCAAAATGAGATCATCCGCACAGCTGGTTGTCTCAACAAATTGGCAAAGCGAGCCACAAGTAGCGATTAGCAGGATCTATGATGACATGCTGTTAATCGCAGTATATTTTTATTTTTATTGTTTAGATAAAAGAAAAAAACATGTCCATTTAAATTGTTTCACATCTATAATTAAATAAAAATTAATTGATCAGCACAAAAAATCCAAAAGGATATCCCTTTTAAGGGCAGATTCACTCTCGTGCATGTGTACAATTGTGTTGCCTGTGAAACTAAAGGATGAAATGAGTCCTTAACAAGAATATACACGTATATACATATGTATGTGTGCAACTTTGTAACGAACTCTGTGAGAAAATGTTTACGTAGTCCTGCATTTTATCTCGACCAACATTCTGCATGTGTGGCTTAGTCATGCGTAAGAAATTGAATTGTCAGATTAAATTGTTGCGCACAAGCAACCCTCCGTTTTTTTTTTTTTTTTTTTTTTTTTGTAGACAACCTTGTCGTTAACAGGGTCATTATTTTTTATATAGTCATAATTTTAATTTATAGCGACAATAAGAGCATTCTAAGAAGAGGTCTTAATGTGAGTATGTGTCCACAACGTAATTTCTCAGAGGTTAGAGAACACCTATATAATACTCTACTTCGATAAGAGATTGGGCAAAAGAGCAACATAGTCGATATTAAAAGAAAAATCTTAAAAGATTGGCGCAGAAAATCCAAAAAGGAAAACTATGAATTTAAAATTTGTCGTACCCATCGAGCAGATTTCTACGTGTATCCCAGATGATTACTAAATATTCGCGTTGCAGCCATGGCATTCAAGCCCAATTCATTAGCAATCATTTCTTGTGTCAATCGCGCGTCTTCGTCAATTTTGAACTTTACCAGTGCTACAGTGACGTCATCAGGGAAAGATTTTGGTTGACCTTCGCGGGGCTCGTCTTCTTCGGAAAAATGTTCTATCAGGAATCTTCGGAACCACTTAGAAATAGTCTTTAAAGACGGTGCAATCGTTCCAAATGCAATTTGGATTTCACTGAGTATTTGTATTGTCTGTAAATTACCTCGAAACCCGTAGAGAATCACATGGCGAGTTTTTGTTTGCGTTGGTGGTGGAATTTCGTCTGACCTAACTTCAGCTATTTTGCATTTTCTCGTTTCCATTTTAGTCAATCGTTCTAAAGCTTTAAAGGCAGACTAATAAAGTAATTTCAAAGTATTTGGTTTTTTTTAGATTTAACAAAAAAAAATTGAAAGTCACCAACTGACCGAACTTTCGTTAATCTCCTCGTAAATATGGTCTTCATGGAGAAATATAATAAAAATAATACAATTTAATATTATGGCCAAGATAATGATGTTAAACAACTGGCCAGCCGAGAGTCCTAATTTGTGTCCACTTTTTGCAGCAATTGGGGTCCGCATGTCAACAATAAAGCCACGAATAAACTCTTTCGAGGCGTCAATGGTTTCGGGTTTATCTGCATAGACAACTTAGACTTCAGATATCCTTACAAAAAGTAGACCAGCGGTGTAAAATCGCACGATCTTTGCAAACTACGTCACAGGCCCAAGATGTGAGACAATGCGTTAAACCACTTACCTTCAATAAATTTATTATATCATTGGGTGTACGGCATGTGCCGCCATCTCGCTAGAGCCAAAGGTCGTCCACATAAACATCCTTTCAAGTATGGCGCGAAAAAGTTATTACACATGACTCACTGTAACATTAAAAACGGCTTCATTTTTGTAGAAATATTGACCAATGATTCCCTCTGTCCATAGAAGGACACATCAAACAGTGACTTTTTGAGAATGTAATAGCGTCGTCTCAACAATGGCTTGTTTATTACACTTCCCATTCGACCAAAAGTGAATTTGCATGGCTGAACAAAATTTTCTTGTGAAAATCAGTACCGGCGCTCATGCCGTTTTTGGCCAATTCCCCTTCAATTCTTGCGCAAATTGGATATTGTAAGCCTGCTGATGGACTCATTCAAGTCGTCTTCGATACTCTGCTACTTAGCAGCAATAACGTTTTCGATGCGCACTTTACGGTGTCTCTGAGGATGCGTATTATCCATTAGCAAAAAGGTTTTGCGTAAGCGATCCATGGTTGCCGACTCTGCTGGGCATTTACATTCATATGTCCAGCAGTTAATGAAGGATTTAACCGAACTATTGGGTTGCCCAAAAAGTAATTGCGGATTTTTCATATAGTCGGCTTGTGGCTCTGTAATTGCATTCTTTCTTCTGTCAGTTATCAGCTGTTACTTTTAGCTTGCTTTAGAAAAAAAGTGCGCGAAATTTTGTTTACATTTGTTTGTTTGGCGTCAATTTTATTATGGAGCCCACCAAGGAGCATTTTTGTCATATTTTACTTTATTATTTCTGTAAAGGAAAAAACTCGGAGCAGGTTGCTAAAAAGTTGCGAGATGTGTATGGTGATGAAGCCTTAAAAGGAAGACAGTGTCAAAATTGGTTTCGCAAATTCCGTTCTGGAGATTTTTCACTTAAAGATGAGCCACGTTCAGGTCGGCCAAATGAAGTTGATGATGACCAAATCAAAGCAATAATCGAATTGGATCCTCATGTAACTGAGCGTGAGATAGGAGAGAAGTTAAATATACAAAATCAACCGTTCATTATCACATAAAAAGTCTTGGACTGGTGAAAAAGCTTGATATTTGGGTACCACATGTATTGAAAGAAATTCATTTAACACACCGAAACAACGCTTGTGATAAGCACCTTAAACGCAATGAATTCGATCCGTTTTTAAAACGAATCATAACTGGAGATGAAAAATGGATTGTTTACAACAACGTTAGTCGAAAACGATCATGATCAAAGCATGGTGAACCAGCTCAAACCACTTCAAATGCTGATATCCACCAAAAGAAGGTTATGCTGTCTCTTTGGTGGGATTGGAAGGGTATCGTATATTTTGAGCTGCTTCCAAGGAACCAAACGATTAATTCTGATGTGAACTTTCAACAATTGGACAAATTGAATACAGCCATAAAGGAGAAGCGACCAGAATTGGTCAATCGTAAAGGTGTCATATTCCACCAGGACAACGCTAGACCGCACACATCTTTGGTCACTCGCCAAAAACTGAGTGAGCTTGGCTGGGAACTTTTGATGCATCCACCATATAGCCCTGACGTTGCACCATCAGACTACCATTTATTTCGATCTTTGCAGAACTCCTTAAATGGTAAAACTTTCGGCAATGATTAGGCTATAAAATCGCACTTGGTTCAGTTTTTTGCAGATAAAGGTCAGAAGTTCTATGAGCGTGGAATACTGAATTTGCCAGGAAGATGGCAAAAGGTTATCGAACAAAATGGCAGTTATATATTTGATTAGAGTTCATTCTAAGTTTTATTAAAAATGCATTTACTTTCTTTTAAAAAACCCGCAATTACTTTTTGGACAACCCAAAAATTTTTTTTTGTTTGTTAATAAAATTATTTGCTTAAATATGGCATAAACAAACTCTTTTTTATATGTTCACAGCTAGCAAGAAGTGTTGTGAAGTAAGCCAACTGAAAATAAGCGAGCTGGGCGTTCTTTTGCAGGTCGTGTGAAGAGCCCTCCACACCACAAAACTAAGCTAAACAAGACACTAAATTAACTTTAAAACTTTATTTCACTATTCTCAATACACTGGTAGGCCAATACAGTTAGTGAATAATCGAATTTCGGAAACCATTTTTTTTTTTTTTTCAGTTTTAAATTTTCGCCTGAATGGAAAATTGTGGTTGCTCTGCAGCTGGTAGAGCAATGTTACGGAGCCATGAATAATGACTACTTAGATCTCAAATATACATATGTACATGTGTTCATATATATATATATATTTGTACAAACACCGTTTGGCTATGCTTCCAGTTAGTTTTCAATTTCGTTGTCCACTCTTTGTGGTCAGCCAAATCGGGACAATCATGCTTTTGTCGTGAGCAAAAATATGCAAATACTTCTGTTGACATTTATATAACATTTATATATATGTAATTCTGGCTTAGCGAAAACGTTAAGCTGGCACAGAGATTATCATAAAGCCGCATTAAACCGTATAACTACTATTTTGAGGCCATGAAAGCAAAGTAAAGGAACAAAATACCCAAAAAAAAAAAAAAAAAACGAAAGAGATTAATAAATACATAAGTAAAAATAAACAACAATAAAATTCTCGAAAGTATAAAATTAGTATAGCAAAAGCAAGCATCATCGATCTGTATAAGTGCTAAAGGAAGGCAGAAGATGAGACCGCCATCATTACCAACACCACTAGCACCTTTTTTTCCACCACTACTGTCGACGGCGCGGTAATTGTAGTGTCGGGCCATGTTTGACGTCATTTGTTTACACTCTGCTTTCTTATCCACAACCACGACCTCAAATAAACTGGGCGGTTGCCAGGTTATTCTTTGATTATACGAATATTTAGCAATTTTCAACACCTTCGAATCTTCGAATGAGTAAAACAGAATGGAAATAGCCCGCGAATGATCAACAACCAAGAAGCAGGCGGCAAATCACTAGCAAAATCCTTTTAACATACACTTTTGAACAAACTGAACATTAATAATAAGCTGCAATTTTTTTAATCTTCCTTCATTTAAATGATTTTCATTCTTTTTTCTCTATTCTCTTCCCTCTCTCTCTCTATATCTCTCGCTGCGCACAGATAAACCCCAACGATGGCCTGCCGCAACGTATCTGCCAGAAATGTAGCGCACAATTCTATATTATCCACAAGTTTCGTCGTAAATGCCTTAAGGTACAGATCAGATTGCGATCCCTCTTCGACAAAACGAAATGTTGGGAATATGAGGAGCTCTCGGCGCGCGTAGCTGCTGAACAGTATCAAGAGCAAGCGCAGGCGAGGGGGCAGCAGCAAGCGAATGTGCCAACGAAATTGAAGCCAAATAATTACCAAAGACTGCAATGGTGTAACCGAGAGACTCAAACAGACCAACTGGAGCTTCAGACGACGACGTTCAGCGCGTTGAGCGTGAATCTGCCACCGGTGTTGGACATTGGCAACGATTTAATTAACGATAAGTACAGCAAATCGCCGACGCTTACGACGGCTATGGCGAGGCTGGAACTGAAGGAGGCTAATAACGACGCGTCGAGCCACAGCAGTGCTTGCAACAATAGCAGGAAGTCCAAGCTGATCAATTCGACAGAGAAAATAACCAACACCACCAACAGCACCACCGACAACGAGCAGGCAAGCATACCAGCTCACGGTACATCAAACCCAACAGTGCATGATGAACCAGTGCAAAAGTCCAAAACGAAAGTGCCAAATAGTGATTTGCCCAACAAGCCGCTAGATGTTGAGGCGAGTGCAGTACGTGATGGAAATAATCGGCGACGTAGCAATGGTGGTAAAAGTGTCGATCAAGAATCACTCTTGGCCACGCATATTATTTTCAAACCAGCTACACCAACATTAATGGAACGTGCGATAGCCCGCAAAACAACAACAAATGTGATGCGCACCAGATCGGCGCGAAAGAAGCCGGCGGCGGCGAACCAAAGCATCAGTATCGACCTAACGAAACCCGGAGAGCAGACGCGGGAAGAGCAGCGCGAGGAGGAGGAAGATGATGAACTAACCGCCATCGAACGGTCGAAAGTTGTAGTCCAACAAGTCGAAGATGATTGTCTTGCCGTTGTTGTTAATGACGGCGATGATGATGATGATGATGATGATGAGGTGAAAAATGAGGCTTTGGCACGGGTAGACGTAAATCTGCAAGCTGACGCCGTAATGTCTGAGGATGCCTTAGCCAAAACGGCGTCTTTGTTACGAGCAAACGTTGAACCACAAAGCATCACAGACTGTGCACGTCCAGCGAAACGTGCAAGGCAGCGAGCTGGGGGAGGCGACGACGGCGGCGGTGTCGATGTCGATGTCGGCGGCATTGAATGTGTGCACGAAGGAGATCAAGAAACAGAAGCGGAAATCGCGTCAGCAGCAGTATTTATGGATACGCGACACGCCTCCGATTCGCCGGTAACAACAACGACTACGACGACGACAATGACGACGACGACGACCAGTACCAAGAAAGCTGCGACGACGCAGTCAGTGATCTCGTCTGATGTGGACACGTTAATAGCGTGTTGCGGCGGTGATTGCGGCTGCAATATTGTTAAAGCTATCACAGATGAGGCTACGTGGCACAGCAGGGCTGACGATGAATATGAAGATGACGATGACGACAACGACAACGACGAGGACGAGAACGAGAACGAGGATGAGGAAGAGGAGGTCGACGATTTGTTGCAACCACCAGCTGTTTTGTTTAACTCCGCTAAGACAACACCAATGGACGTCGACACATCGTTGATCCCAGGAAAACCGATTAGCGGTCAAGCGGCCCAAATAACAATGGATAGCAATACAATAATGAGGATTGGTTGTGGGGAGGCGGTTATTTCGGCGATGAAGCCGACAACGAATGATGTACAAAGCAGTAAACAAACAGTGGAAGCGTCTGAGATTAGTAATTTGCCAATTTTGCCGGCAACAACGAGTACGACGACGTGCAACAACGAGGCTGTGAAAGATGTTGACGGTGTGTCTGGGGTTGCGGCTACGGCTGCGACTGCGGCTTCGGCTGCTTTGCAAATAATTGCCGGTGAAACTGAGGCAACAACAAGCGAGGCGGCGGCGACTAATAATAAGGTAGTTGCTGGCAACACTTTAAAGTCAAGTTTGAATTGGAGTTTAAGCCTGAGAAATGTGCAGAACAGTGACGGCCGTTCGCAAACTGACGAACATTTGGCTGTTGAAAAAATGCCTGTTGTTGACGGTAATGGTGATGATGAAGGCGTTGAAACGCTAATGGCAAGAGTTGAACTGCAAAGCAAAGCTAACAATGAAACTATTAAGTCTGATGCCGCCACATCAACGATCTCAGAAGAGTTGGCCAATAACGAGACCTCTACCTCAAACACCTCGTCCACCGAAGCTGCCTCCTCTTTCGTAACGAAAGCCGCGCTCAAAGCGTACAGTACCTCGCCTAAATGTCGTTCTCTCGCACGCCGACACATGCAGCTCAAGTTGAGACGCACACTAAAAGGCCCCATCGCCCAATTGCTCGCCCACTCACCCACTTCAACTTCAGCTGCAGCAGCGGCTTTCACAGCATTGCATTACACGAACAAAAAACAGTTGAAACGTACGCTCACGAGGAGAGATGGTGACAAGCCAACAATGGCGACACCCTCAACTACTACGAACTGTAGTAGTGCTGACGGCAGTGTGACGGGAAACGCAAGCTCTCCACCATCAGCACCACCAACATATTCCTATTATGCGACAGCGCGTCGTGGACGTCGACGGTTCAAATGGCGCGCACGCTCACGTCTCCCCTGTTTCGATAAACATGCACGTAAGAAGAGTACACCGACCACCGCCTGTGATGTCAGCACGGTAGATAAGCCTGCAAAGGTGGCCAAGCAACAGCTGCCCTCATGTTTTGTACGCTTACGGCGTTTGTCACGCAGTGAAATGAGCGAAGAGTTGACAAAATGTTTGTTGACTGAGGCAACGCGGTCAGATGATGAGGAAAAAGCAAACGCAACGGACGTCCAAGCAGCAGCTGGTGTAATGGATGTTGAATTCGAAACACATGAGAACTCAGAGTGCGGCACACGTATAACGCTCAAACGTAAATTACCAGCCGACGAAAGTGAAAACCTTGCGTCGACTCGTTCACCTTGGCGCACCAAAGCCGAAATGAAGGAAAGTTTGCAAGAGAACAGCCAGCAGGAAGATGATGATCAGGACGAGCAGCTTCTAACCTTAACGCAACAAGAACTCAAAGACGGCTCAGTGAAAACTCAGCTGAGTCTCGCTGAAGCCTCCACCACCGACGGTGACAGTGCAACGGTAACTGCGGGAGAGATTTGCGCGGAACGACGTAGTAAACGCATCAAGAAACGGCGAAAGTTGCTGGAACAGAGGCATAAGTTGCGGGCCGTGTCTGAGGAAAGTACTGCCAACGGTAAAGTCTTGCCAATTATATTGAAATTGGTGCAGGAGAAACTTCCAGTCGGTGGTGATTGCGCGACCTGTGCGCCAAAAGTTGTTGTGAAAGCAACTGTTACACCAAATACACAAGACAATGCACCAGAGTCGGCAACGACCTCGGCCCGGTATCATGTAGTGGGCACGCCGTCAAAGCCGGACGATCGGGAGTCCGCTAGTGGCGAACTGCAAAAACGTCGCCGGTTCCGTCCGAAACGCTCATGCTGCCACGATGGCTGTCTAACTGACGATCCTGCCGATGATGTTAGTGTGAAAAATGGCGCCCTGCCGCCGCAATTAATCAGTCAGAGTAAGGGCAAAATGGTTATAGATAATGTTAATATAGTGAATATCAGCAGCTGCGTCGAAGCCACCAAAGAAAATTGTGATAATAACAAGAAAGAGCGCTTGCCTTCGCTCAGTTCCACGACAGCAGCAACCGCCTCTGCTGAGGAAAACTCTGTTATAGACATATCCAGTCCGTTGATGCCTTTGTTGCCGCTCCTACCATCGTTCTTGCCGCTTACGCAGGTTCCAAAGGTTACATCATTGGCTGATACGCCGTCATTGTGTTCGCCGATTAAGGCAACATCGCCTACAGGAAAGACGGCGCCAACAACCGTGATGTCTTTGAAGACCTTTTCCGCACTCGTGTCCACGACATCACCAAAGACCTCGCCAGTCAAATCGTCTACAATAGAATCTCCATTTGAGACTTCGTTACTATCGCCAGTAATCGCCGCGAAATCGTCTGCGCTTACATCACCAACATCATCTGCCACCAATCCCGTGTCGGTGGTCTTGCGCAATCAGTTGATTGTACGCGTGCCGCTGTCCGCACTTTCCGCCGAGTTTCACAAGAGGCTATTCAAAACAGCAAATGCGCAGAAGACCCCAACTAAAGCCATGTTGTCCACTACGATGGATATCACTGAGTCAACGAGCAAGCCAACGAGTCCGCAAGAGTCTACAAAAACACAACAAGCACAAATTGCCAGTGCTAAGGATGTGTCGACTGATAGGCAGCTTTCCGCGCATAATAATGCACAGAGACACAACACTGAAGCAGAGCGCCAGATCAAAACCTTACCTGCCACCAATCAAGAAGTAACCTCACAGTCATTTACCTCAAAGCCAACCATTGCCGCCTCACAGCCAGCGGTTGATTGCGACGAGCCGCCGCAGTCCGCTTGCGATGATCACACAACGTCAAACAAATCGGAAGCTACGGCAACAATGGAAACATCAACTCTGGGACATTTCAACAGCCACGCAGCCTGCAGCAGCAGTCAATATGACAGCGAGCAAAGCGACTTTTTTGGTTTCAGCGATGGCACAGGCTCAAGCCCGAATAGACGAATTGAATGTTTAGGTGAGAACAACTCGTTGTATCCGAGTAGTTCGCTGGGAACAAACTCACCCGAGGCTGTTGCGAGATCTGCCACTTTGGCGAATACCAAACTACACGATTTCATCAATGAAATCGCGCCTGCTCTAACCGATGAGTCCGAGGCACCGCAAGCTAATGAACTAGAGGCCACGTTACAAGCCGGTGAGGTAACCGCAGCTTTGATAGCAGAAGCAGCAGCGGACACTGAAATAGTTCCACCACTCTGTGTCGCAAACGGCCATACACAATCCACACAGTTGTTAAGCGAGACGAATTTGAGTGAAATGCAAGATGTGGAGAATACATTGAGTGGCATTCTCAACGAAATGCAGGATCAACATATCTACACACCCGTTTCGTCAAGTGCAGACGACTTTTTCGCACAATCCGTCTATTCGCCGCTCTCAGATCCACCCACCACGCCAACGCACAGCATGTACGCGGAAAGTCCGCTAGGCGGCGTTGGTAGTGTAGGCAGCAGCAGCATGGCTGGCGGTGGTGGCAGCTTGTCAGTTGCATCCAGCCCCTACGTCCAACACATGCACATGGAACAGTCAAGTGTGAGTAGTGGCCAAATGTCAGAGCCATCGCCGTTGCCAGCGCCCTTGTCCGTAGGCCCAACAACGTCACATCATCAGCAACACGGGCATGCTGCTGGTTTCGGCAAGCAGTACGGCAATAAATACGGTGAATGCTTTACGGAAGACAGCACGCAATCCGAGTTGATTGGCTTCCAAAATGATATTCCCTGCTTCGAGAATATTGAGTTGGCGGCAGCAGGTGCAGGCACTGCCTCTGTCAGTCCAACCAGCAGTCACAATGGGCAGAGTGGCAGCATACATGAAATGGAAATGAGGAAATTAACGCCGGAAGAGCGAACTAATTGCAAGGTGGGTGTTTCAAAGCAGGCACCGGTACATTATTTGGGCATAGCCCCGGGCAATGAGACATGTGCGACAGCTGATGGTGTTGTGTCGGCACATGCGTCAACGGTCAACTTGGCGGTTGAGAATGCGGCGCAAGCGACAGACGTAGTGGAGAACGCCACACTCGCTCAGCTGTTGCATGATTTCGAGGCAACGGAGACCGCTGTGGTGCAACGGCGACGCGAGCAGGAGCGGAGGAAAATGTGCGATGAAAGAGCGCAGCAACAGCTAGAAGGCCAAGAACAACACCACACGCTGCCGCGACAACTTGTCGTGCAACAACAATTGGTACCAGCAGAGGTTATCCAGAGGCAGCAGATAATGCAACAACGTCAGCAAATGGTGCAACAACCCACTACCGCCGAGCTACAGCTGCAGCAACAACAACGTGAGCAACAGCTGCTGAAACAGCAACAGTTGCTGCAGCAGCAGCAGCAGCAACAGGAACACATATTGCAGCAGAAAATGCTGGGACAACAACAACACGAGCAGTTGGTACGACAACAACTGTTGGACCAAGAATGCTTACGACACCAACAACAACACTTGCTAGACCAGCAACGTATACAACAACAGCAGCAGCAGCAACAACAACAACAACAACAACAACAACGGTCTCAAATATTACACCAAACTGTATTGGCTGCAAGCGCCAAGCAGCCGCTTCAACAACCCAACACGCCGCAAAAGCCACATTACATCGCCCTGCCGCCGAGCTGCGCTTATGAAACGGCACAAATGCAACTAGCACAAGCGCCCAGCAACACCGTTCAGCACAATCTTGGCGTGGGCGTTAATCTCTACGCGCATGGACTCGGCAATGCCGGCCAAGAGATCCGTTGGACAGCCAGCCCCGATCTCAGCAGCCTGTCGCCGCCGACCATTATCGAAACACCAACTAGCGCCACTTCCGGTGGCACCACCACCACCTACTACATCAACGCGAGCGATTTGTATCAGCCCAACTTGATAGCAACGCATTTAACAACAACACCGCAGCAACAACAACAGCGACACCAACAACGTCATGCTATCGGCTTGGATAAATGTTCCGCGGTCGATGCAAATGAGAATTTCATTGAGGGCTTGTGTGCTGGAAATCGAGTGGCAGCCACAGCGCTGCAACAACAACGCCCTGCCTGCCAACAGCAGCAGCAGCAGCAAAAAATAATGATAGTGATACCGCAAGACTACGGAGCAGCCGGCGCTGGTGGCGCCACCGCACAATTATATGCCACACCTGATCAACCGACGACATATCAGTTGTCACAGGCTCAACCGCAAACAGTAATCATGCAACAGGCATCACAGCAGCCGCAGCACTTACAAGGACCACACAGACCGACAGCGCTACAGGTGAATGGCGTCAATGTAAGTTCACAATTCATCGGTGCTACACCGGCACTGAGTGCACATCCGGCGGTGGCACAACGCTCTTTGCAGCCTCATGCAACATCGTCGCGTCAGCTGCAACACTATCAATTGCACAACGCCACACCACCGCCGCGTCCAGCCTCCCTGCATGGCGGTAATCGACCGACGCGCTGCGCATCCACACCCTCTGCCTCACATAACTATCAACATCTACCGCAACAACATCAGCAGCAGCAACAGCAACAACAACAACCACAGCAACAGCATCCACATATACAGCAAACACAGTTGATACAGCAAGCGCCGAGACCACAAGTACGCTTAATGCAACCGCATATGCGTACACTTCCACAGCCCCAACAACACCAATTGATACAACCGCATCCGCAATCGCGGACACAGCCACAGCCACAGGCACAGCCAACAATGAAAGCCAACATCGGCACTAAATCCAGCACCACCGCTACCGATACATCATCGCTAAAAGTCAACTTGGTTTGTCGCTTCTGTCACAAACGCCCCAAATTTACCAGCAATCTCGACTATAGCAATCACATTATTGCCATGCATCCGGTAGAGACTCCCTTCAATTGTCCCTACTGTCCGTTGCACTTTACGCGCCGTGCCAAGCGTCAACAACATATTGTCGAGGAGCATGGCGCAAATCGCTTCCAATGTGCACAGTGCGGCCAAAGTTTCTGCACCCAACGCGCCCTGGATCAGCACTTGCAGCGTGCTCATGCATTAGAACCCACTCAGCCGTACACACAGACGCCACAGCAGGCACACGCACAAGAGCAGCAATCAACGCGCGTCGTTAGCGTACAACAGCAACACCAACGGCCAAGACAGGGCTTCATACATGCAACGACGGCGACGACGACAACGACACAGCAGCAGCAACAACAACAGCAAACGCTTAATTCAGCACAACGCCGCAAATGTTTCCTGCAACAACGGCCCACTTGGTTGGAGAGTCGCCACCGCACCACCACCATGGCCTCGACGGCAGCAGCAGCTGCGGCGGTATCCAATTCGCAAGCGCCAATGGTGCGTGTAGAGGATGTGCACTTGCAAGTTTGCGATGATGCGGCCAAAGGCAAGAAGTGTAAGTACATACAAATATACATAGAAACATAGATAAATGTGTTGTTAGTTGATTTTTATTGTTGTTGCGGCCTCACTTGTTGTCCTTTGTTTATTGTAGTTTATGAATAGAACAAAGCAGAAAAATGTTGAGATGCGTTGAAAAATGTCTTTTGAATATTTATTGTGCGTGAGTGCGCGATTGCTGGGGCAAAGGCGCCTTGGATTGGATGTACGATTGGTTGTGCGCTTTCGTGCCGCTGTTCATACCCCATACAAAATAGAACCAAATTGAACCAAATTTAGATAATATTTGTTGCTTTCCGGCGCAGGATGGCCGATTTCGATCATCTCTTCGAGAAATAGCACGGAAAGTCTTTGCGCGAAATACGGTGTAAGGAAGTTTGTGGACTGCCCAATTCCAAAGAACGACGAGCAATTGACATTTAGGTTTCTTCATTACTTTGCGTTTCTTCTTCTTATTTACTGGCGTAAACACCGCTGACTTGATTATAGCCAAGTTCCTGCTTTTCAGTGTTTGGTGCCAAATGGAAATACCAAGCGCAGCCAGGTCCCTCGCCTGATCTTCCCAATGGAGTGAAGGTCTTCCCCTTTCACTGCTTTCGTCGGCGGGTACTGCATCGAAAACCGCAAAGGTACTGCAAAGCGACCGCAAATGACATGATTGCTTGTTTGAAAACAGAGGATATTTCGTACTGTCCTCGCTCACTACCAACACCCAAACGCTTTGTTTCCTTTTCCAGTCTGGAGAAAGCATAACTCTTGCCCAAGTCGACTACAAGTGGTTCGAAGTTGCAGAGTGGCAGCCCACCTTGCCATCGAGTTTTAAGCCGTCAGTGAAGATGTATGCAGATCTTTGATCCAGAACTAATACGTTTTCTCCATTTATTTCTTTCTACGATTTTTGTGGAGAAAGCGTTGTCTAAACAGAAAACAGAAGTTGTGTGTGCCTCTTCCGCAAATAGTGTAAAATCCAATGCGATTTCCCCCTCATGGTTGAGTTGTTGTTATGGTTGCTGTAACCGCAAAAATATTCCCCAAAATAGTTTTTGGAGTGACAGTCCTCTGCGACCGGATAAAATTCCGGTTCGTTCCGGACCCGACTGTCATGAGAACTATTGGATTTTAGTCGCCTCTAACGACTGGCATGCATTACCGCCGGTGAATTCTTGAACCCCTAAGCTGCAGTGGTTCCCATGGTTGAGTTGCTTTTAGTCTTATGGCATTATAGCTCGAATGAGGTTTTCCGCAACGGTACGCCGGTAGAAAATTATTGAGAATTTCAAGTGCATGCGTAGGAGTTCAATGCAGCGAAGTTGTAATGATAAAGGAAGATGTCCGCTGAACTTTATCCAACTAGCACGGGACTTTGCACTAGGTCACCGGAAGGTGACTCCATAAAATAATATCGGTCTTATGACCGTTTTTTATAGCCAGCAAACCATATGTGGTCTTGGTGTCCACCATCTTTTACCTATTGCCGACTTGCGGGGCTGGAGCGCAGCCTTAGCTCTCCTACCACTTTCAACCACATTTCCCGTCCTATTGAGCTTACTAGGTAAGATCGTACCAAGGTAGTAAGAGTGATCTCGATGCATTTTAGTAAAGACGACTTAAAAGCAGGTGGTGTAATTGAGTATAGTCAAGCTTCTGGTTATGCAGTTGCGTCCGCGTCGAGCGTTACATATATGTGAGCAACCGTTGTGCAAATGCTAAAAGAGAGGAAACTTCATTCCGACAAATGCGGAATGCTGAAGCCTAATTGCAGAGTCTGCCCACCAGAGGCGCGGCTGGAAGCAAGCAGATCGCTATATAAGTATATGAGAAAAAAAAATTAAATATACTTGCCTAACGAGATTGTGCGCTGGGCGTAGGACCAGTCACGTAGAAAACTGCAGCAATGAAAAAGTTAGCAACACCTCAGATGAGATACACACCCTTTTAATGACGACCACTGCTTGCACCTGGAATGTCCGCTCCTTTAATTGGAAAGTTGCCTCCGCCCAGCTGGTTGATATTCTCGTAAAGCCGAAGGCCGACATCACCGCCGTCGAAAAAGTGCGATGAACAGGGCGAGAACGGAGACGAGTAGGTCCTTGTGACATTTACTGCAGCGCCCATATAAAGGAGCTTGGTTTGGTGTCCGATTCGATGATGATGGGAGAGAGAGTCCGTTCGTCGAGTACAGGTATTCAACCTGGTAAATGAACGCATCGCTACAGTCTGCCTAAAATTTTTTAATATTTCGCTAATTTGCTGCCACGCCATGGCGAAAGAGAAGGACCTTCTTCTCTTGTGTGGCCAAGAATATATCTTATGAACGCCTGGAGCGTACTCATGGGCGATGTGAAAATTATGTTAGACGTTTTTAAAAGCAGGTGACTTCTGCATGCTGTTGTGGTGAAGAATATCTATTTGATCTATAAGGAAATCACATGCAAACCATAATATCTGCACCAATTGCTGACTATATAAAGGGCATTTTTTCCAGTCGCTGTGAGGGCGTTGTCGTCAGCGTATGTCAACCCCACGCAGCCGCGCTTCTAAGTTTACATTAAATTGCTGTTTACTGTAGAAGAAACTTTGATTTGTTGCTCGCTTTTCAAATGCTTTATAGAGGGTATCGCTGAACTGTCTTCCTCTCATTGTCTTCACACTCGTAAACGAGTATTCGCTGCAGTTTTATTTGAGGTAGTCTTTCTTCTTTAATATCGCACATTAACAATGCCAGGAAATATATATATATATATATATGTGTGTGTGTTCATTAAACAAAGGAGTCATATTTGATTCATATTCATATTTTGTGTAGAACACACAAATGCACAGGCACTAATTTCATCATTTGATCTTCCTCTTCTTCTTCTTCTTCTTCTTTTGTATTGTCGTTTATATGAAAACACAAATTTCACTCTAATGAATGAAGTTATTTATAAATTATTATTTGTAGGCAGAACGATGGGCATTATGCATCGTTTGCACATCGAGGAGAATATATGAATGAATATTAGTATATATATATATATATATATGTGTGTATATACATATACGAGTATGTATGTAGGCGCATTTGAACTTTTGCGTAGCGTTTTTCATAGCGGAAGTTTAATTTTAGCAATGACAACTTCACGTTTCATAAATAGCAAAATAAAAGAGTTGCAGATAGATAGATAGATAGATAGAGATAGATATGTATATATGTATGGATGTATGTGTCTGCATGTATTTGGCGTATTGTGTGTTTATCCAAGCGAGATTTCCGGTACAAGAAAAGTACTAAATACTCCTCAAATGTAATGTACTTTGGGTTATAAATATGCTGGTGGTCGTTGGCCTAAGAGGCAAAATTAACGACGTGCCGCCTATTGTTTTAATCGGCGGGGAGTTGGGCGCGTAGGCAGCAAACAAGTAAAATGTATTGTTGACACAGGTCACTGGCTGAGCAACATGTACATGCACGTATATATACGCATACCCAGCAGCAAAGGGTAAGAACTTGGAAGCATAGTAAATGCAAAGCCTCTTTATTTCCTTGCCGAATATACCATTTGGATTAAGGAAAAGTGTACATAGTGTATTTTCATTTGGTAATTGCAATCAGTGTTTTCGCGTCGAGCGCTGTGTCCAATATTCTTTCGACACAATCACCCAGTTGAGTCGGTAGTTCAAGTAATCGCACCGAGTTTACTCTAGTGGCTAATGCAAATCCTCACCGCCACCGTACAGTGTGCACCGAAGACGCTATTGCTGCTGGGAAACAGTGTATCGACAAAGACCCGATTGAGTCCACTCCCCAATGCGCGCTATTATTGATGGATGGGCACACCCAGCCAAATTTATAGCAGGCTTTAACTCGTGTAAGAATTGAGGCCCAAGCACTATCAAGCACATCACACGTTCGCCCAAAACATTAAGCCCAAAACGAGATGGTCACGGCGTTGAAGCTTTCTTTAAGTTGAATGGGCTCATTAATAAACAAAATTGCCGCATTTGGATGATGCTAACCCACAAAAGCCCACGTTGAGACGCAATTACATCCAGAGCCATTGGCTCTGGGCGGAGTGAATCATTGGTGCATATATTTCTTCAAAAATTAAGACAAAATTGTAATAATTAATGCTATAGAGCCATGATTAATGATTTTTTTGGTTGCCGAATTGGCAAATCTGGATGTGGCTGAGCTTTGGTTACAACAAGACGGCTCTACATGACATACAGTCAATGAAACAATCAATTCATTGAAGGAGAATGCATTATCTCGGGCCGCGGTATATTTTTAGTGGGATTTGCTATAGTTTCTTTTGACCGGCAAAGGATTCCCTTTATTGCTGTTATTATGCTCCTCACAAAAATCCATCGAATGTTCGGAGGCGGCAATTACATACTCGTTAATGTGAAGTCGTTTATCGACGCAGAGAAGCTCGACGACGTCGTGGAAGAGAATATTCCGCAAAGAGTGTTGGAAATTTGGCCCTCTCGGCTAGCGCTTGTTCAAGCCAACCGAAAGAAGTTAAGTAGCTCAGTAGCTCATAGTCTACTTGCTCCGAAGACAAAACACGAGTAAAATTTGAACTATCACCCAGCACCTGTGGCAACATATTTATTTTTATTTTTATTTTTATTGCTGCAACTATCCATCTTACCATGTACCTCGCAGTCGTGCCACCCGCCTGGAAGAGAGTATTTTCTGTCGGACAACCGTCAGTAACGGTATCGGCTAGCGGTGACAACTCTTCATTAACATCATGGCGCTCTCATAAGATAGGTTGCTATGGCTGAGTAGTTGCAACAGTTGACTCGTATTTTTTACTTTTTCTACAACAAAAAATGCACGTGAAGAGTAATTTTTATTTTTTTTCTCTTGAGAGAGTTTCTGTTTATATTGGCATTAATTCTTCTCTTCCAAAAGGTAAAATCTTACCAAATTTTCTAGAGGGTATTTATGTATCATATGTATGTATGGATTACATACATATAAGGGTATATGTGTGTAGCTTATTTATAAGTACGCTTAATTGCACATTCATTATTCTCAACATCAAACGGATATTCGGTTAAAGCTGTACATACATACATACATACATACATACATACATACATACATACATACTATATGTCTGTCATACGGATGCTTCATATTATGGAAGAACTTACTTATCTCATGGTATGCCTTTCGGTTACTTATTTAACGGTGGTTTCAACAAGCAAAACATACAACAAATCCATTGGGTGCGTGACAAAGCAAGTCACGTTAATTAACTGTAACCACTACAACACTCACTCATTTGTACGTTTGCACTAAAATTGTTTTGTTTGCTAACGCCTGTGTGCTAAATTGAGTGTAAAATGAGAGTAATTTGCAATTTTTTTTCCAATATTCTCAAATATCAAAGTGTTTGACTTTGATTAAAAATTTCTCTCAGAATCAAACACTTAAAATAAATTATTCATTTTCTCATGCAATTATTGGGTTAATATTATTATTTATAATTTAAAAACTACTGGAAATTTCCGTAACCGATCAAATTACACAAATATGTATGTATGTATTATGTACGTATGTATGAAAAGCGAAATTTTAGAGGCGATTAAAAAAAAATCAATGGGAAATTTCTTTTTTTATGTGATTACATAAAAAAATTATTGAAAAATTTATTAAAAAATTATAAAGATAAAAAAATATATAAATTATTCGTGAACATAATGCTCGATGGATAAACACTGCGTACTACCATCCGGCAGATCATAGACTCAAGTCCTAGTTCGACCAACATCTTCGCATCTGCAATGCATTGAGTTCACTCAATTAGCTTAAACGTTCTTCGAAATTGAGTTTCATGATTTTTGAATCTGGTGCCAAAGTTCATTCTTATTGCTGGAATTTGGATCTCGCTATTGTGACGTCCACTCTACTATAACTTGCAGCCTTTCCTTCTCAAACTGCTTCAGTATTTGTGCTTGATATTGTCTCCTCATGAAGAAGCATAACACACACAAACACTATAAAGTTTCTTTGAGACTTTGTGTTCTCAGATCTCTGGAAACCCGTAGTTGCATACTAATTTGGATTCAATGATGTCAAAATTTATTACCAAATTATTTCAAATTTTCAGATATTTCAATTAATTTCTTTAAATCTTCTTAAAATAAATGTTTTCTGTCTATCTTCAAGCCGAAACTGTCTGCCAGACTTCGTCATCGGTGCTAAATTATTTACCCTTCAACACCATTTCCATTTTTGGCAACAGGTAACAAACACTCGGGGTCAGGTCTGTGCCCATTTTATGCAGGGCAGCCAGCGCAACGCAGTTCTTGTGAACGAACTGTTGTGCCGTGCAACAGGAGGTTCTCCTTTCGTCGATATTCCCAAGCGTTTCTTTTTAATTGCTTCCTTCAGTCGCTCCGATATTGAAGCGTAATATTATCCAGTTAGCTTTATTTTTCTAATAGCTACAATCCGATTCCCAAAAGACCATTGCCATAAGTTTTCCAGCTGACTGTGAATCTTAAACTGCTTGGGAGGGGCTGTGCCACTACATATTCATAGTGATGAGTCCAATTTTCGTCTCTAACCAAAGTTTCGACTAAATACACCAGGCTTCTTTTCATAACAGAGGCGGTAAAATGCTTGTGACCACTCTACGCACTGTTACTTTTGCGGAGCTTGAGCATTCTCGGTACACATCTTGTGGTGTGCTTAGTCTTAGCGAGAAGATTGTGCAGCGTTTTAAAAATGATTGTATCACATAATTCAATAATTTTTCCAAATTTTGTCTTTTGTCGTGCATCGCTGAGGGCAATTTTTTCAAGTTTTTGGAATATGTCTCAGTGTAACCACCTCGTTCGGCCTCGGTTCGTCGGTAAGGGTTTCCTTTCCATGTTTAAATAAATTGTGCCACTTGCCACAATATGGTGTTTTCAGGGACAAGAGTCGACGTAGGCCAATGATATCTCTTTCATTATAGATAGAATGGAACATAATAATTTACTTAACTCAACAGCCATTAGCCCTTAGCAAACGAACAACAAACTGTCTGATATTTATTTTCCAATGAATCGTTCAAAATCTCGATAATCTCAGAAAATTATACTATCCCTCCACAAGTTCTATGAGCATTTAACAATTCTCTTAATTACATGACGCCACACTTGAAAACCAATCTATCAGTCTATCACCGCGTGTCGCCTGTGTGTGTCTGTTTATAGAGACCGCCCACTGTTGCATTTAATGTAACTAAAAGTGATAGCGGTTAGGCTTAACTGTATAATTTCATACCACCCACGACCTTCAGATACTTTATATAAATGTTTGTATTACACATTTTTCCAATTTTCGGTTAATCATTTATTTATTTATACACTTTTTCTCGCCTCTTAAATACTCTTTTACTCATTTCACGCGGGGGAAAAAAGTTTTCTACTTAACTCATTCATTCACTCATTCATTGATTCATTCATAAACTATGCATGTTCATACTAAATGTATTCCCTTTTATATTATCCCAGTTATATATATATGTATGTGTGTATGTATGTATTTATGCTTCCTAACCCTAACCCAAAACAATTTATTGAGGCAGCAAAGAAACCAAAAAAGCCAAACTCACTTCAACTCCAGAGCACTCTGAATATTAATGTCCGCACTGATTAGATTAACTTCATCGCTTGTTGCTGCTGCTGCTGCTGCCTGGAGTTTTGTTGCGGTCGCAATGGTGATGGTGGTGGTAATGATGGCCTTGGAATCACAGCTGATGTTTCAATTGCCCTTAATGGCGTTCTTAATTGACACTTGTAAAGTCATGAATAAACGTTGTTGAATAAAACGTTCGCCGCTCACTGCCCTGCCCCCATCTGCCTCTGCTCGCTTTGGCTTGTCTGCTGTCGCCTATCATTGAGTTATCACTCGCTTGTATAATGGCGAGCTTGAAATTTGCCTAATTTGTGTATTTCCGGCTAAATGAATCGGTCGAATCGAAATCGACCAGAAGGAGAGTGGGAAATTCAATTACTTTTGTAGCTTTTTGTATTAAAAAGCAATCATTTTGCATCGACATTTGATATTTGGGATATAGATTGGAAATTATTAATTTGTGAAAAAGCCATAGTTTGTGCGAAAAAGTGTGATTTATTTCTTCAATCGGGTAATAGGTCTATTAGGAAGTTCGGCGTTGAAGCTAGTGGAAGAAATGAATGTGAATGTTATGAGTGCCGTAAGCATGTATCTCTCTTTCTTTTTGTCGTTCTCTCCCGCTCTCTCTCTTTCCTTCTCTCTTACTCTCTTTCTTTCCCACTCTCTCTTTTTCTCTCCCACTCTCTCTCTTTCTCTCTCTTTCCCTCCCTCTCCCTCTCTCTCTCTTTCCCTCCCTCTCTATCTTTCTATCTCTTTTTCCCTCTATCTCTCTCTTTCTTTCTATCTCTTTTTCCCTCTATCTCTCTCTCTCTTTCCCTCCCTCTCCCTCTCTCTCTCTTTCCCTCCCTCTCTATCTTTCTATCTCTTTTTCCCTCTATCTCTCTCTTTCTTTCTATCTCTTTTTCCCTCTATCTCTCTCTTTCTTTCTCTCTCTCTCTCTTTCTTTCTCTCTCTCTCTCTTTCTTTCTCTCTCTCTCTCTCTCTCTTTCTTTCTCTCTCTCTCTTTCTATCTCTTTCTTTCTCTCTCTCTCTTTCTTTCTCTTTCTCTCTCTTTCTTTCTTTCTTTCTCTCTCTCTCTCTTTCTCCCTCTCTCTCTCTCCTTCTCTCTCTCCCTCTCTCTCTCTTTATTCTACGATGCAGTAATTTTGAGAATGAACTACATAAATTACGACTTTTCTTAGTACCAGAAGGAGTAGAGAGTTACCCACAAATTTATGTTAATCAGCTCAGAGTTAATTCAACCACGCTCGTCTGTCTGTAGGACAAATGGTTTACAGTAAAAAATGTATATTTTAAGCTTATGGCCAATAATTTAGCTGTACAATAAAGTTAAGGGTTTGCCACTATGTTTAAAAATGTTTCTCGGTTGGGCGTCGCGGCTCTTGCAGCTTTTATGACCGAAAGTCGGTAATAACGTGCCGAATGTTCTCATCCAAAACGTCATTCGTCTCGGGGTTATCTCTGTAGACAAGCGACTTCACATAAATTCACAAAAATCTGTACAGCAATATTAAATTGCACGATTTTGGCGGCCGCGCCACACGCCCACGACACGGAATGTTACGCTCATCACAAAAAAATCTAATTTCAAATTTTAATTTCAAAATTTGATTTTATATTTGAAAATTATTATATAATAACTTTTGTTGGTAATAAAAAAAAATGTCATTAAAAGAAAACCTGAACTTTTTGTGAGCTTTTAAAATGTTTGAGCTTTTTTTATTGTAATTATTATCAAATATAAATAATACAATTATTATCATAAGTTTATAAGTTGCTAAAAAAAGTAGTAGTTAAATTAATTCAAAGATGTTTGTTTTTTTCCTTATCGAGAGCTTTTTTAATTAATTTAATAATTTTTATGGGTTATTAAAAGAAAAAAATGTTATTAAAAAAATCAGAGCTTTTTGTGAGCTTTTAAAATAGTTGAGATTTTTTATTATTTTTGTATTTATTTTTTTTATCCCTTAAATCGCACTACGAAAACATAGCTTGACGTATGCATAATTTTTACATTTTTCTACTTTGTTCACAAGTTTTTGCTGTTGTTCTCTGCCATTATCATAAAAGTAATTGCAACAACTATTTACTTCAATTACATAGCAACTAATTTTTATGCATTGTTTGTTCTCGCCTACAGCAATTGACTTGCAACTGGACACCACGCAATTGACTGCTGAGTCTACAACAACATCAACAACAACAACAATGGCGACAACACAGAAACCCAACGGCAGTGGCAGCGGCAGCAAGCCGCAACGCATACTTTGTTGTCCGGATTGTGATGATCGTAAGTTGAAATCAAAAACAGAAAAATAAAAAAAATTCAGTATGCATGTTTGTATGTATGTATGTACGTGTACATATGTATGTATTTATGCATGAGTGTACAATTAATAAGCATGAAAATCCCTATCGCGTGTAGAAAATGAATGAAAATTGAATTGAAAATTGAATGCAAACGAGCTAACTAAGCAATTCAATTAACTGTAATTTTTTTTGTATTCAATCAACAGCTTTTAGTGAGGAACATAATTCTCATGCGCAGCCATGCGCATCATTACACCATCATCAACAGCAGCAGCAGCAGCAGCAGCAACAACAACATGAACAACAAGAAGCAGAGCAAGAGCAGCAGCAGCAGCACGAAACGCAAGTGGAACAATCAGTAATACAATACCAACAACAACAACAAAATGATTTAGATCAGCATGAAATAGGCGACGAGGGAGATGAAGAAGCTGCCTCATCTGCATTTGTACAGCGCTCACCACAACAACAGCAACAAAAACGTCTTGCCCACCACATGCTACTACAGCCACCAATAAAGAAAGCTCACGTCACACTACCCTCACCCGAACAAACGGAACCGGACTCCACATCCACCACCAACAACAACACCGGCACTTTGCGACATTTCCGCAAGCGACGCGGCGGTGGTGGTGGTGATGTTGGTATTGGTGTTGGTGTTGTTGGTCATACAAATGGCCATGCCACATTAATGGCCGCTGGCAATTCAAATACCACCGAAGATGAACTCCTACTCATGGAACGTGTACTGCGCAACAGTCATAATTGTCTCTTCTGCGATGCGCGTTTCACCAACGACATTGCACTGCGCAAACATCATCAATTGGCGCACAGTAATCAAGCTTCAATGCCGTTTGTTTGTTCGGTTTGTAAGCGCGGTTTTCGCATGCGCAACGCCCTACAACGGCACATGGAGACGCACGATAGCGAGGGTCGGCCATACGAGTGTACGTTGTGTCATGTACGCTTTCCGCGTCCCTCTCAACTGACATTGCACAAGCTGACGGTGCATTTTCTGCGCAAACCGCATACCTGCGAAGTGTGCGGCAAACAATTTGGTACGGAGAGTGCACTGAAGACGCATGCTAAATTTCATGGAGGTGAGTAGTTTAGGTTCCGTAAGCAAGCGCTATGTATGTAAATAAATAAATATATTAACTAAATTGCTGTGTATGCAGCCGACGACGGACTGACAGCTGACTGGCTGGCAGCATTTCAGTCAGTCATCGTTTGGCGGGCACTTAATATTTATATTTAGTAAATAAACCCATAGTAAATAAAATAGCTAAAATATGTATACATAAATGTGCACACATGTATAAAATTATATTTAAAAAAAAAAAACCCTTAAACTCCAACAGTAGTAAAGTGTTGGCGATAAAGCTAACACATTTCCACCTAAAGTTTGCTTTTAGAATTTTTTTTTTTTGTTCAACGTTGTCGGTTATGAGTTATTTAGTTGTTACAAACATACACACTTGTATTATAACACACTAATATAATATTTGCATCCTACAATCCTACCAACAACTACCAGTAACACTGCAAACTCTTCATAACTACTTTTACCACCAAGAAATTTGTTATAATCTATATAATACATCCTCCGTTCCTCCTCCCTCTCCGGTTCTTACCAGCTATCCCTGTTTTAAAGTCGCCCAATAGCTGCAACACTGCCACATTGCACGCTCCAGTTGTGCTTTCTAAGCGCATCGTTGGCTGCGTGTAATTTGCGACAATTTCTGTTACGCTTTTTAAAGGGTTTTCTTGTAGAATTTTTTTTTTTATTTTTTTTTTTTTTTTGCTCTTTATTTTCTTTTTTACTATTTACTATTAATCATGATATTTTATCTTGGTGTAAGTGTGCCGTTTTTATAATGAATGTTTTGTGGCATATCCGCTGGTAGATATGTATGTATATAAAAAAAACATACATATATACATACATATTAAAAAAGTCGCTAAAATCCATTTAAAGAAAAAGCAGCAACAGTATTACCGTTTTGTTGCTGTTATAACTTTGTTGCAATTCTATCATTTTTTATATTTTATTTTTTTCTCTAAATATACATACCTACACACTTATTCATCATTATGACTTGACATCAAAAGACAACGGAAGCATAAAAAAAATAAAAATAAAAATAAAAATGTAAATAAAATTAAAAATTGTACTTGCATGGTGAAAATGTGGTAATAATCACCCATTGCTGCGTGTGGCACCCGCATAAAGCGACTGCAACGTTAGTTACTGTAATTTACAGAGCATTTACCTCTTCCGTTCAGTGAACGTCTTGTATGTGTATTGCTGAATTTTTTTGTTTTATTATATTTTATTTCATTTTTTTTTTGCATATTTACACATACATACATATGTTTTTGTTTGTATGTCTTTTCTTATTATTTCATTTTATTGCGGTTTTTTGTCATACACTTATTCATACATAAATATTATATGTATGTACAATGCATATACATGTACTTTGGTGTTGCTGCTCTCAATTAAATTTGTTTCACTAATGAAGAAGCTACGCAACCTGCCATGACTTCAGTGAACAATTAAAGCTTGTCACGCTGAAGGAGCATGTAAAAGTTATATTAAGCGTTGTATGTTTGTTTTCAAGCATACTTACATGTATATATTTACTACATATGTACGTACATACATGCTGTGCTTATGAGTTTATAAAAGCGTAATTGTTTCCAATTTTCCACACCAATTTGTTTATATATTGTCGTAAAAGCAAATCTAAATTGTATTTACGTTTTATTTTAACTTTCTGATGTATTTATTAAATTTTGTTGTTTTCTTTTTCTTTCACTTTGCTTTTCCAAATAAAAAAATCTTTATTAATTGTAGCAAAAGCTAAAAATTATAAGTAAGATTTTAAAAGCTAAGAAAGATATGCGAGTATGTATGCATGTACACTTGGAAAGTAATAGGATCAACCATAGTCCACTGCAAGCTTTATTACTTTCTTTTATTTTTTCGGAATCTTTTTTTAAATATTTAATTTTTTATATCTTATTTTTTTTTTTAATTTTTTTTATATGTTAGTTACTTTTATTAATTTTTTTATATGTTATTTACTTTTATAAATTTTTTTTTTTTAATTTTTTTATATTAACTTTTTTTAATATGTTTTTATAATTTAACCCATTTATTTTTTTTTTTTTGTTAATATTTAATTTTGGAATTGTTTATTTAATTTTATTTTAATTATAAATTTTTTTTTAGTTCAATAGCATTTTTTCTTCTTTCTTTATTTCTTTTTATATTTTTTGCATTCCTCCTTTTTAAATAATAAGGTTTTTAATTTCTTTTTTAATTTTACTTCAAATTTTTCATCTTTTTCTTAATTTTTTTACACTATTAAATTTGTTTAATTTTATTTTTATTTTTAACTTGATTATTTGTTTTTCATTATTTCTATTTTTGCTTTTATTTTATTAATCTGCTGCAAACTTCATTTGATTGTCTAAAATAAATATCCTGAAATTAGTTTAAAATACTTCAAGACTAATAAGTTTTTTAAACTTTTTGGGCAATTTTTCTTTCTTACTTACTTTTAATTGTTTTAAATCTTTTTGCTCTATTTTCCATTATTAATTAATTTTTTTACTGCAAACTTTTTTTTTGGTGTTCTAAATTTAAGTTCTAGAATTAGCTTAAAATATTTCAAGATCAATCAGCTTCTAAAACTTTTTTGGTATTTTTTCTTCGTTTTAAAGAATAAAATTTCTTATACTTTTTTTTAAATTTCATTTTTATTTTTCCGTAAAATTTTTGTTTTCTACATTAAATATCGCATAATTAGTTTGAAATATTTCAAGACTAATGAGTTTTTCTTTAATTTTTTTTTTTGCAGTTTGCTTTGTTTTAAGTATTTAAATATTTTTAATTTTTTAAAATATTATTTTAAACTTTTTTAACTTTTTTATCTGTTTTTTTTTCTTATTTTATTTTTTATTATTTTTTTTTAATTTGCTTCAAATTTCCTTTGTATGTCAAAAATAGATACATTAAAATTAGATTAAAATTTTTCAACACCAACATTTAAGGTTAAAACTAGATTTTTGAAATTAAAAGAAAATATTTTTCATAAATCTTTATTTAATGTAATTTTATTTTAGTTTGCCTTCTTATTTTAATTCAATTCCTTAAAGTTATTTGATTTCGTATTATTTTATTGCATTTAATTGAAATAATTTTTTATTTTATTTTATCTTGCTTCATTTATTTTATATATTTTCATTTTAATATTTTTTGTTAATTTTTTTTTTATTTTATTAAAATTATTTTATTTCATTTTATGTTATTTAAATTTAATGTTTTTTATATTTTATTGCATTTAATTGAAATTACTTTTTTTTTTTCATTTACTTTATGTTTTTTTTTTAATATTTATGATTATTTAATTTCTTATTTTATTTCATTTATTTAAATTATTTGTTATTTTATTTTGTTTCACTTATTTTATTTTATTTTCATTTTAATATCTTTGGTTAACTTATTTTTCATTTTATTTCATTCAATTTAATTTATATTATTTTATTTATTTTGTTTCATTTTATTTTACTTCAAGTTATTTATTTTATCCGTTTTTATTTATAATTTTATTTTTATTACATCTCATTTGTAGTATATTTTATAAAATTTTTTATTTTACTTTAGTCTGTATTATTATTTTTAATTTGATTTGCTTTATATATTTACTTCAATTTAATTTAATTTTGCTTTATTTTACCTTAAATTATTGATTTGAATATTATTTTTGTTTCATCTCACTCGTAATACATTTTCGGTTCGGAAATACAGCCTTGAGCAGGTCTAGTAGACCTGCACTGCAAGGTTCAAAAGCGATTTTCTCAAAACTCTGTTTACGAAGTCGGTTGTCAAAAGTTTTTGAAAAAATACACAACGGAACTTGATGGAATTTTAGACGAGATACAATGCTCGAAAAATTGTTTTTTTTTTTTCAATAACAACTATTTAAAATTATTTTCCAGCCAATTTGATGGTTACGAGCTCAAAACAGTTTAATAGAAATAACACACTCAATTTGTCTACCACCAAAAATTAGCTTTCAGTTGAAAATTTGATAGACAGCTTAATGAAGTTGGAAAAAATGTTTTCAAAATCTGAAAAAGAAAAAGGAAAACTATTCGAAAATACAAACCACATGAGTAAGGTCAACATAATTTTTCTCAATGATTCCCAGTGAAATCGAATACTTTTTTCTACACCCTTTTAACCCTCTTAACCCTTATTTGACTTACTTGATTGTATGCAGCAGTCAATAAATAATCATTCGTTCCATAAATTTCGCACTTGCACAATAAAGCAAAGTAGTAAAATAACACCAATAAATGTAAATGTACACCACACTGTTTTCTAATATTGTAATTCAATTATCAAAACGCCATATCATGTAACCCTTTATACATGCATTCATATGTCAATATTTCACCTACGAACACCCATTAACAACCAGCAGCAGCAGAGCACAACAACGGTAACGCCCTTTTTACGCACCCTCCTCCTAAACAAATAAGACATATTATTTTAAAATTAAAAAAAAAAAGAACAAAAAAGGATCATAAAAGGCATGCATGCAATATGTTTGTTTGTATGTTTGTTCATATACATTATTATAGACATCCATAGAGAATTTATTGTAGTGCAATAAAACTTGGTTGTTTATAACAAAAGTCCAACAGTAAATTTGGTAATGTACATGTTTCCTTGTGTATGTACCATCGGCTGCCTAAATATGCACTTGAATAGGCAGCAATTTCATTCATAGATACATACATACATACATACATATACAAAACAGGGTAGATCATTCAAAGGAAAAGCATTTGTTTCTGAAAAAAGAGAAAAACTTACATATTTTTATGTTCATTTCGATATTCATTTATTTTGGTGCAAGTAGATATGTTTCAGCTATTTTTTGAAATTGATATCACGTAAATGGCCACTTTTGGTCTTGAGTACAAAATGTGCCCCTTGAACGGCCTTGGCCATATTGTTTCGGGCAATGTGTCGGCCTTTATGGCAGCGATTTCGCCTCGTAGGCTGTCTTTAAGTCGAGTT